GTAACGATTCTGGATCTGCTGGGAGGTTTCCAACACGGTGGCTACTGACTATTTGGAATTTGGGGTCCCCTTGGGAATCTCATATGCTCTGTCGACTCTCTCCACAGAAAATTGCTGGTAGATATTTTGCCCACAATCTCAAGTAGTAGTTTATAGACCATCGGAAACCCTTCCAGGAAGCTCGGTCTGGGACCCCCTTGCTCTGACGGCTTCTGAACTTCTGATAGCAGCTGACGAGTTTGCCAAGCATGCTCTTACCATGGCCTTGGCCTCCTCCCGGATAGAAGGGATCGAAAGGATGCTGTACAGAGCTCCATTCACGTACGGCTGTATCTTTAGGGGAGAAAAGGCAGTCAGCTGCAAGTTTTCAAAGACTATCCAACACCACTCTTGAGGAGAACACAGCTAAGGGGCCTGAGGACACACAACCCCACAACCTTCCTGCCCCAGGACCTGTGTCCTAACTGCACACACGCCATTTGCATGCTCAGTCACTGGGACAACCAAGAGTTCAAACCCAGATTCCTCACTTCCCTCCGACGCTGGCTCGCACGTGTCCCAGAGTTTAACCAATGCCATTTCTAAGCTCACCATCACTCGGTCTGGACACTGTGGAGCCATCCATGTCCCCTGCGATGTGCCGTGCTAAACCAACACCATCCATGATCTCACGCAACCAAACTCATGACCAGCGAGTCCATGTCCACGCACAGCGGCCCTCTGGGCAGGTGAGAACCGGCCCCTCCCTGTGGTTTCTGAGACTGTGACTAGGGGTGGGAAGTCTTGCCTTTCTCCTACCCGTCACCTACGCTACATCAACTCTCCAAACGAGTCTCCTCCCTCAATGTCGATCCCTTTCATCCAAACACATCTCACGGCCACATGCCTACAACTTGGGCCAAATCCCCCCTTTCCTCACCTGGGACACCTTCCCGAGGAAAACCTAACTCCTCAAGGCAGCACCCAACCCCCCGAGGGCTGGACTCTCTGCCAGCTCCATGAAGTTTATGCTCAAGGGAGCCCACGCAATTTGAGGGAACCCCTCACTCTCCAACACACATCAGGGTGCACAAGCCTCTACCCCTGCCGCTCACTCTCCTGGGATGTCCCCCATCGCCCCCCACTTATTTAGCTGGAAAACTGTGATCCATCCTTTTAAAAACTATTAAAAAAAAAAAACATCTAACACAACATTTACCTATCCAGCATGTTTCACCTGTACATTTCGGGGGCACCAACGGCATTAATCACGCTGAGCGACCATTAACCACCCTCGCTGCCCAGTTCTCTGTCACCATGCTCGTCACACGGTGACTCCTCTTGCCTCTCCCCCGGCTCACGGCATGGCATGAGCTCTGCTCTCTACGCATCCCCTTGCTCTGCGTTGCAGATAAGGGAGAGCAGATGCAGTCTGTCCCTCGGTGACTGGCTCTCTTCACTCAGCTTCACGTTTTCCAGGTTTGTCAGGTTGGATCTGCCACAAACCGGACCTCATTTCTCTGCATGGCCGAGTGGCATTCTGATTCACCCTGGAAAACCCGCTCAGAAGCCCCTCCTGAACTCTCCAGGCAGGGTCTGTACTACCTAACCAGAGCATCTTCAACACACCTCCTCTAATGTGCTGAACACCGTCTTTGTAAAGCAACACGTCTGCCTCCCTGTTGTGAGCTCTGAGGCCAGGATCCATCATCTCTTACCCACAGAGGTGAACCCGCATCAAGCCAGCATGGAGCAGCCACGTGGCAGGTGCTGAAGAAACCAGGCGGCGTCTCGCCCCCCCACCCTTCTTAAACATGTGGACTTATTATTGCCCTTGTGATTTTCACTAATCTGATGGGGAAAAAGAAGAAAGAGAAAAACCTACAGCCCGATTACTCTGAGCATTCACAGTGTGCCTCTGGCAGTAACGAGCACCAGGGCTGAGAGGAGAATGACCCACGCTGACCGAGAAGGAGATGACCGTGTGTCCACTGGGCTGCGGCACATGGCTCAGTGGACTGGCAGTTATGGGAAGCAGGAAATGTGGCAGTCGGGTCAAGATGTGATCATCATCCGTTTTGCTCACACAACGCCCTGGCCTTTGGAGCACAACCTGGTCAGTAACTGAGGAGCGGCGCAGTGCAGAGGGGATCACCCAGGAGCGTGAAGCACAGGCACAGTCTATGGACCAGACAGCATTTGACAACTCTGCCCGTTTTTCAAAGGTACTGACCGCCCTTGGCCGGCCTCCCACCCGGACCTGTGAGGCCTCAGGAAGGTAGGTTCTCCCAAGCCCAAGGCGAGCCGGCTGACCACGTACCTCATGGTTCTCATGGCCAAGCAGATCGGAGAGCACTTTCAGCACGAGGCCGGGCACTCTGGCACACATCTTCTTCCCTGTAGGGGGACAATCGCAATCAACCCCCAGTGTGATATTTCTGAACTCAAAAGCAGTTCCCTATGAACCCCACCATCACTTAAAGTCTGCTGAGGGCAATGAGGAGAGGCAGTGTGCCATTTGCCAAATGTACTGAAATCAAAGACTTGGGGTGACGTTGTCATTTTTGATGCAAAAGACGGAAATCCGTCACCATTGGCTCAATGAACACACACAGCTGGCGGCTCTGTGACAGAGCACCTGAGGGTAGAGCAATGGTTGGGGAAGAAATCCAGGGGCCAACTGATCGGGGAAACCCTTTGCTCTGCACACGGCAGATGCTCAGACTGAGGTCAGCCACGCCGCTGCGTGGCATTGACTCTACAGACGCTTCTTTGATCTCGGTTAAGTTTGTTTAAATGGGCTGGTACTCGGAGAAGGTCTAGATTCACTACCTACACTGATCAAGTCAGTAACAACAAGTGACTCCCCATCTTGAGGGGCTAAGGTGGGGATACCACTGTGATAAAGAGCAGGAAACAAGTGCTGATCCTCTCGATTGAATTATTTTCTGCTTTGAATGTTTTGACAAAACCATGCGCTTTTAGTAATGGAAGGCATTTTGAATGAATGAAAAAGAATTTTTTTGAGGTAAGATGGATTGCTACACAATTAGTGGGACACATGTGTCCCAAGAGGTCAGTGGTACCGGGGTCGGTGGGGTGCGGCCTGCTTCTTCAGATCCCCAAAGTTACACCAGCTCCCACCAGATGGGGCATGCACTACAAGTAGGCTAGCAGTCTCCCACCACACCTCAGAGACAATCTCGAAGTGGGCACTGCATGCCCCACGGGTCATGAAAAGTTTAAGATCCTTGTGCCTGGCACCATCTTCATGCGGTCTTCTCTTGGAGAAAATGCTTCCCGTTTCTCTTTCAGATGAAAAGGATCGTAATTCTTCACTTCCTACCGTTGACCGATGGCATGGAAAGGAAGACGGGCGTAGCGAATTTGACTTTAACTGTAGGCACCGTACAGACACACACATGAAATATTATTCCCAAGGCCGGATGGGATTTTGCCTTCTGCTCCATCACCCACTGCCTTCCCGTCCATCCGGCTCAGAGTGACTCTCCGGCGGGGAGGGGGACTGCCCCTGTGGGTCTCCAAGGCTGCCATCTTCCGGGGGCAGCCTGCCACACTGTTCTCCAGCAGAGCAGCTGCCAGGGCCTCTGAACTGCTGACCTTTCCGTTACGGGCGGGTGCTGAACCGCGGAACCAACAGGGCTCCCTAACAGTTTACACCTGCATCCGGCCCCCGTGGGAGAAAGAGGAGGCGTTCTCCCCCACTGGGAAGCCACAGGGGCAGTTCTACCTTGTTCTCTGGGGTTGCTGTAAGTCAGAATCCACTCGACGGTAGACGGTTTTGAGTCTGACCCAGATGGAAATGCTTTTCCACAAATAAGGCCCCCTCTGTATCAGTTTCCTTTTCAAGGGGCCCTGGTGGCTCGGCATTGGGTAGCTAGCCACAGGGTTGGTGGTTCAAGCCCCTACGGGGCCCTCAAGTGAAAGGTGAGGCTGTCTGCTCCCTGTAAAGATTTACAGCCTCAGACACCCTACGAGGGGCTCACGATGAGTCAGAACGGGCTTGATGGCAGTGAGGGTGGGGGGCGTCTATAAGGGAGCCCAAAAGAAAAGCACATCAGGCTGGCTGGTAACCCAGATAGGAGGGCCACCCCCCGCCCCACCACACCGAAACAGAACCGGGGTGCCTGAGAGGAGGCGGTGGGACCTGCGCTGCGCAGGCAGAGGTTCATGAGCAGGGCCACCGAGTACGCCAGAGTGTAGTCAGACAAGCCGTCGGGGTCTTTGAGCGTGTCCACCAGCCAGAGGACCAGGCCGTCTCCAATCATCGCTGTCTGCAGTGGACGCCTAGGACGGAAGGGACCATTGTTTATAAACCCGTGGTCAGTGAAGGGCCGTGTGTTAGTCTGGCTACTTTAGGGAAACAAATCCACAGAAACTCATGTGTATTAGAGAGCGTTTTATATAACGGGTAAGTGCACATCAAGAAAACATCCCAACCCAGTGCTGCCCAAGCCCACAAGTCCAACATTAGCCCATATGTCTGACACCAATCCACAAAGTCCTCCTCCATCTCACAAAACAGACACAATGATGCCGACTGCAGGGGGAAAGCCGAGTCAGTGAATGTGTAAGCATCTCAGCACTGGCAGGGGTCTCCACAGGGCTGCTCCAGCACCCAGGGCTGCATCAGGTCGACTGAACTTGTGGCTGCTCCTCGGGGATGTCTTGCAGGAAGTGAGCCTTGCCAGCTGAAGCAGGGAACTGGCTAAGGCAGCTGCACCCTGGTCCAACCATCAGGAAGCAAGAGACCCGAGAACTAGAAAGGTGAGGCTCCCCGAGCCATTTATCTCTCTGCCCTTCGATTAACCCAACAGGTTGGCACAATAAACTCTAACTATCTCAGACGCGTCGGCAGTGACCCGACGGCAGGCAACACAGAGCACCCCGCTGCCAGAGCCCCACAATCCAGACAGCGGCTGCTCCTTCAATGCTTGGGGATCCTATTTGGGGCTGAAAGGAAGAGAGGCAGCAGGGCTGATGCTTGAAAAGCCTCCTTTCCAATGTTCAAAATGAGCAGAGTGTGTGACTTCAGATTTTTTAAGAGATATTTTTTGGTAGGTCCTGGGCTTCCAAGGAAACAGGGCCAGGAAAGGTCATTCTTGGACAAGCAGATTCTCATCTGAGCTCTAGTTTTAGAGGGGAAACTCCAGGCTGCTGTCAAAACAAAAGCAAACACAGCAGCTGAGCGCCAGCTTGATTCAGAGCTTTCTAGAACCGGGCTGTTCAATGATCTCCAGGTGGCACCGTTGATAAATGAATCCATTTTCCACTCAGATCCCAGGCGTACAATTTTGGAAAAACCCAGGGCTTCATCCAAACATATGCTGATGACCGCCATCGCGTCAGCCTTAAGATGGGTTCTCTGAAAACCACTCGATGTCTCTGAACAGTGCAGACAGCACAGAGGCACCACCCCAGGGCCCTCCTGGTGAGCAGGAGGGGAACCAGGGAGCAGACCTCTGTCTGTATGTGTGGGCTTCCATGCTCGGCCCGGCCGGCCTGGTGACCGAGAGCACGGTGCTCACGGCACTTCCCTGTGTAAGCCTCACAAGCCCCACTATTTTCTACATTCGCTGCAGAGACCCTAGAAGGCTGTGTCCAGACTTCGAAGCACATTCCCAGAACAGAGAAACCCGAGTTACTGGTCAGAGCATCGTCAGTAAATATCTGCAGTACCACGAAGAGGTGTTTCCTCACCCTCTTATCTCTGTCCCTGACCTACACTTCCTGGATTTCCAAAATACACTTCCCAAGGGAGTCACCTTCTACTTAAGCTGTCTCAGGGCACACAAAGGAACACAGCACTCCGTGTGGTTGCAGGAAGCGCCACGCAGAACTCTGGAGATCCCGTAGATCGCTTTCGATTCCTGTGTTTAGAACAAAGAGACTTTCCTTGGCAGGGATCTGATAAGTGGTGGGTAATAAATGGTTATCAACCCCTTCCTGGCACCAGCTTCGGTCCCCTCCTCCCCCCACGTGGACTGTCTCACGGTAGGCTTCAGGCTACTAGTGAGAGTCGGTCAGATACCACGTTTTGGGAAGGAGGTAGGTTCAGATGAAGACTGGCCATCAGAAAAGGCTGAGGACTCAAAGTATTAGAATGCTCAATAAAGTCCAAGAGAAGACAGGTGGTCACGAGGGGTGGGACAGGGCACGCGTTGTGTCGTGGCTGGGCCAGGGTTCTCAGTGGTTGTGTGGTTAAGGTGTAGTAATCTCCATGATGAGATCACCTCAAGGGTGTGGCCTGCTTCCAATATAAGCGGACACTGTGGAAAATACTGCTTGCTCTTCGCTTGGTCTGGTTCTTGCATTTGGCTCATCGGCTGACTTCTAGTCCTCTGGACTTGAGCCAGCGGTCTGATGCATTAGGTGATGATCTCCAGGGTTGCCAGCAGAGTGCTCTTTCCTACCAACCTCATTTGCTTCTGTAGCCAGAAGCCAGTCTGACCTGCCAGTCAGTCTTGGCCTATTCAGCCTCTTCAGTTAGGTGAGCCAGGGGAAGTCTCCAGCCAGCATGTGACTCTTGAACTTGGACTTGCCGACCTCTGCAACTGTGGGAACCATGTCCTCGCTATATATATATATAAACTCTCTGCATATAGAAGTGTCTGTGGTTTTGCATCTCCAGAGAACCAAGCCTAAGACGAGGGGCACCCAGGCTGGAAGCATCACCACGTGGCCCAGCAATCCTCTCCCACATTTGCCCAGGAGGAGGGAAACTGTCCACACAGAGACCTGTGTGTCCATGTCCACGGTAGCATTATTCACAAAAGCCAAAAAGTGGAAATGACCCAAATGTCCACCAGCTGCTGAATGGACACATAAACGTGGTGCAGCCACGTTTGAGAAATGGAAAGGAACGCTATTCACGTCAAAGCACGGATACAGGCTACAGTGTAGGCTGGACCGAAAACATGATGCTGAGTGACAGGAGCCCACGTATAAAAGAATGCATTATTATACGATTCCAGGGATGTGTCCGTAAAAGGAAACTCTGCAGAGGAGGTCGATTAGTGGGAGCCTAGGGCAGGTGGAGATGGGGAGCAGCTGTAAGTGCGTGTCATGAAAATGTTCTAAAATCACACTGTGATGACGGAGGTACATGGATGTAAGTGTATTAAACCATTGAGTAGTGCTGAAAATCGGTGATTTTTTTAATGGAATGGTACCTCAACGATGCTGGCAATAACTTTTTTTTTAAGAGAGAGAAAGAGAGGGTGCTAGAAGGACACTAAGAGGGCTCAAGGAGTATCCAATTATAGCACTCTTGACGTGGGACAGTTCCGAGGCACGACAGGTACACACTGAGACACGATAGAGGTGGGTGGACAAGGGGCCGGGCAGGTCTCACCCTGACGGCCACACAGGGACTCCTCACTTTCTGCAGCAATCATCCATCTCTGTGAGTCTCCCACTGCACACGGTGCGCTCCTGTGGGCTGAAGCTCCCGTGCTCAAACACAGTTCACTCGCCTCTATGTCTCGAAACCTCTGGAAGCCTGAGACGAGCCGGCACGTCGCTGGCACTAGACAGCGTTCAACAGAACGCAGGATGTCTTTGGAAGATGTCTTCCTCCACCCGAAGCAGCAGCCGTGAGGAGGGCGGTAGAGCCAATCGGAGGAAAGCTTTCAAGGTCTCCCTTGGAGAACCACCCAAGCCCTTGTTTGGCTAGGAAACTCAGAGGAGCCCTGGTGGTAGAGTAGCTAACCAAATGGTCAGTGGCTCACGCTCATGAGCCGTGCTGTAGGAGCACGACAGCGCAGTCTGCTTCCAACAGACGGACAGCGGGTCCTGCAGAGTCCTGCTCTGTCCCCCGGGCTTGCCACGCTGGCAGGAGCCACCACTGCGAGCTGCTCACCTGAGACTGAACTTCTGCAAGGCCCCCAGGATGTTCTCCCGGGTGACGACGTCCTTGTGCTCTGCCTTCAGCCGCTCCTCCAGCATCCGCAGCACCTTCGTGTTCTGGGTGAGGTAAAGGCGGCCTGACAACGCAACCAACGACAGCGCGGGGCTCAGGGTGGGGGTGGCAGAGGGAAAGGGTTCCTCTTACACGAAATCAAGTGCGTGCTCCCTTGGGAGACGTGGCCACACATGCGGAATCTGGGCCATTTTATGGGCTAAGGAAGCTACGGAAACATTTCTTCTCCACAGTTGGCTTTAGGCATTCAACTATCCAGTGACTGGGAAACCGCTTTTGTGGGAATTCTCAACATAAGTCATCTTTGTTGACCCAATACTCAGTTCTAAGAGGGCAGGGGGAGAGGAAGAAGACTGTGTGTGGTGACCACCCTGCCCCCCCCACCCCTTACAGAGAAGCAGCCATGCAGTGCTTGGGCCATGCTGCCCGCCCATTTCTAGACATGTCCGTGTCTGGAGAAGAGATAGGGAAGCATACCCGGAACCCACAAATGGACTGTGGATTGTCACCAGTCTGCCACGGTCCTCCACATTGATCCCAAACCCAACCAACCGTCATCGAGTGGATTACAACTCACAGTGCCCCCATAGGACCGGATAAAATTGCCCCTTTGGGTTTTTAAGACTTTTTAGACTTTATGAGAGCAGGAAGCCTCATTTTTCCCCCTTGGAGCAGCTGATGGATTCAAACTTCTGACCTTACAGCTAGCAGCTCAATGTATATAACCCACTATGCCTCCGGGCTCCTCACGTGAAATATTAATCCTGCCGATATGATGTAAGTGGTCCCCAGCACAGAACCCAGTCTGTAATAAATGCTGGATAAAGGGACGGCACAACCAACAAATGGATGCTTGAATACCCGTTTATGTGTTAGCAGGAGTGCAAACCAATCAGAACTCAGCGAGACACCATCACTCTGCAAGGTCATGTCGGATTCAGTGACGGCAGCATTGCATTCTCTGTGCAATGTTCAAACCCTCCCGCTTGAAGAGGGCACTGTCCTCTGAAGAAAGTGGAGCGTGTCTGGGAATCTGCTTTCATTGTTTCACGAACCTTCCGTTGGCTTAAGCAGCAAACTACAGAAAGCGACCTAGCTCTGTGCCCTTGTTCATCAGCTAGAAGGACGCTACGCAACCAGAGGCGTACGAAAGGAAAAGCAGGGGGTCTGCAAAGGAAGCTCAGAATTACCGATAACCACAAGAGCACGAAGCCAACAACACATTTTCACCAAAGGTCTTGGAAGCGTTAAAGCTACCTTAGGTGCATGGGAGAGGCCGTAGAGGTGCAGGCGGGGGAGAACTTGGATGCAGTCTTACCTTCGGCGAGGGAGGCGAACGCGTTGATGAGCCGGGCCATGTACTGGCGCACTGCCTCGCTCTGTGCGTGCAGCAGCTGGAGCACGCTCCTCTGAGGGAAACACACCAGGGGAGCGCGTGAGTGAGCAAGGAGGGAGACGGGCACAGGCCGCTTCCGCAGGACCAGGGGCCCACCCCCTGCAAGCCCGCACTGCAGGCGGGTTAAACAGACGTCCTGATTCTCAACTGGGACTTGATGACACTCAACGGAGAGAAGTGATTCAGCCTTCCACACGAAATGCACTCACGGCACGAAGCACTGGTGAGATTGGAGGCCCCAGCACAGGAAGCACTTGCGCTTGTCTGTGGGTGCTGGGGTTCCACATTACGAGAGAAGATCCAGCCCCGCATGGGAGTTTATTAGGGCACCCCCAGTAAGTGGGTTCTGAAACTGTTCTGCTGTGAATTGGGTGAAGGTGTACAGAGCAGATGGTTTTTCCATTCAACCATCCAGACATACTTGTTTCACGGCATAGACTGAAATCCCCACGACATAGCATCACTTACCCCACTTCCTCCTGGTGTCTCCACTGCTTCTGCTTTCCTTTCCTGTCCTCTGGCCTTCTGAACTTTGTCCTTGGGGAAATACTGCCCTTTGATCTTACAGTGGGTTCTTCTAAGGCAGTGGCTCTCAACCTGTGGGTCGCAACCCCTTTGTGGGTGGGACGACCCTTTCCTAGGGGTCACCTGATTCATAACAGCAGCAAAATTACAGTTATGAAGTAGCAGTGAAAATAATTTTATGGTTGGGGGGGGTCACAACAATATGAATTATTAAAGGATCATGGCATGAGGAAGGTTGAGAACCACTGTTCTAAGGAGGGCCCACCCCTCAAGCATTACTGCTCCTATTACAGAGCACTCTGTTGTTTGGCTGGAAAGTAAGCAAGGCCCTCAAAAGCTTCAAGGGAAATTCATGACCAAGCAGAATTCTAAGCATATGCGCATATGCAACAAGACAAACTTGCTGCTATCCAGTCAATGCTGACGCATAATGACCCCCTGGGGTTTCCAAGAGTACAACTGTTTGCCAGCATAGTTGCTGGTGGTTTTGAACTGCTGACCTTGTGGATCGCAGGCCAACGCATAGCCTCTACACCACCAGGTCTCCTCAGAATGCTTTACATAGGATAAAGGCAATTTCCATCATACACAGTCTCAAAAATGTGTTTCCCATGCATATTTTCTCTGGAAGCCATTAACTAAAAGATGCACTCCATCCGGGTCACCCTTCATGTCTGTACTCACTTTCCAGCCAAACTATACATCTGCGAGAGGAACCACACACTAAGGAAGTAGCGCTCCTTAGAATAACCAATCACTCGGGATCAAAAGGGTAGCGTTACCCAGGGACCAAATTCAGAGGAATACAAATGGGAAATATGGAGAGGAGCTTGAGATGAGTGATGTGACTTTGTGGGCGTTGCAATCAGTGACAAGAAACAAATGGGTTGAACTGTTGAGTGGAAAACGGATTTGCTCTGTAACGCTTCACCTAATTCACAATGAAGAGTAAAAAGAGAGAAAAGGACGTGCTCTAACAAGGCAGGATTAAAGACAGAAGAGATTATAGACATTGGGATCAAGAGACTCAATCTATATGTACAGGCATGTATCTATGTAAATATACTAATATACAATGATAGGGATGTAGGTCTATGCACACATATTTATTTGTTAAGTATTAAGGTAGCAGACAAACATTGGGCCTCTACACAAGCCCTCCCTTAATGCAACAACTCCTTGTTCTAATACCCTGGCATTCTGTGATGCTCATTTTTCCAAAACGATTGCTGAAGACAAAATGGGTGCATCAGCAAATGTGGTGAAGAAAGCTGATGGTGCCCGGCTGTCAAAAGATATAGCGTCTGGGATCTTAAAGGCTTGAAGGTAAACAAGCGGCCATCTAGCTCAGAAGCAACAAAGCCCACATGGAAGAAGCACACCAGCCTGTGTGATCACGAGATGTTGAAGGGATGAGGTATCGAGTGTCAGACAACTCAAAACAATCATATCGATGCAAGTGAGGGGGGTCAGAGTGGAGCTCCAAAGCCCATCTGTAGACAATTGGCATCCCCTCACTGAAGGGTCACAAGGAATGAATCAGCCAGGGTGTGGTATAGCACCAATTAAAGACACAACATTCCTCTAGTTCTTTAATGCATCTTCCATGCCACGATCATGACCCAGTTCTACCTTACAAATCCAGCTAAACCAGAGCATGTGCATTGGTAAATATAAGAGGTTTTGAAACATGGAATCCAGGACAGATAAACCCCTAAGGAACAGTAGTGAGAGTAGTGATACCATGAGGGTAGGGGAAAGATGGGGAAGAAGGGGGGGAAAGGGGAAACAGGCCACAATTATCAACGTATAACACCCCCTTTCCCCATGGGGAGGAACATCAGAAACGTGGGTGAAGGGAAAGAGTGCACAGTGTAAGATATGAAAATACACTCAACATTCGCTGATTTCAGGCAAGATGGCGACTGAGTAACACCGAAACTCGGCGCTGGAGAGTTATTAGAGGGAAATTCAACACTGCCGGGTCACAGGAGGAGCATCATAAAGGTAAGGAGGCACAGATCCACTGGGTTTTGAGGAGCTGGGGGCTTTTGGTTTACCACAGTGAAGGCCAGCTAGGGTCTAACCTTAGCCCCGCCACAGTGTCGGCCAAATCCAGGATCATTTGGAGCCAGCCCAGGGCTTGATCTCAACACAGCCACAGCTTGCCACCACCTCGGGGCACTGTCAGGGCTCGGGGCTCAGCCATAGCGTTCCTTTTGTTTCTCTCTCTTCACTTTCCCACCACAGTCTTGGCTAGCCGTTTTTTTCTTCTCCTTTACCTCACACACCACTGCCACCTCCAGGCTACTCCCCTTAGCCTAGGGCATTTATGCCTGCCCTCCACCTAGCTGGGAGAGCTCCACCCTCTGCAGCATAACCCTAGGCTGGGGAGATCCCTCCCACCTTCCTCCGGGGGAAATTCCGTCCACCTACCCTCTGCAGCGCTTAACATGTGGCTGGGGAAATCCCACCCACCTTCTCCTGTCTTCTGTGGCACTCCCATAGCAGCAGCACCCCTGCACGCCCTCTGCAGTGCCCAAGCTGGAGTGAGCCACACCATCATGGCTTCTAGTGAGATCATCCAGTGCAACACCATCCTTGCGAGTCCACAACCATCCAACCGGCGTCCCAAGAGGACCATCTAACGTGTCCTCCAAATAACAGAATACTGGTTGACTAGGGAAAGAGTGAATCCACAGGAGGATAAAGGGGGAGGCCAATTCCATAGTGCAATTAGCTGCAGGCAGTTTGAAGAAGCATTCCTACTAGTCTCCCAGAAAGAGCACAGTGCTCTTCAACTCTCTGGAAAAAGGCACCAGGCTCCTCTAAAACAACGCAACACAAACAGCAACCAGACCCAACGCCCCCAACAACAACAAAAAATCAAGAGAAACAAAAGGCAGTTTCAGAAGATGTCCTGAGCCTAACAACATGCAAAGAAGAAGCAGACATTGAGCTGCCACAGAAAGAAATTTTCAGAATGCTGCTTGGAGTCATACAGGATATGAGGGAAACAATACAGCAAAAAGATGAAATGACAGAGGAGATAATGACCATACATGAAAGGGAAATACAAGAGCTTAGGGACGAGATAACAAAAACCAGTAGCAGACTCATGGACTTCACCAACTGACTGGAGGAGGACGAGAACCATACCAGTGACTTGGAGGACAGTCAAGCAGACTAACAAACGTGAACAAAAATCTAATAAGATTGTCAGAGAAGCGGAAGAAAACCTAAGAGCTATGTCTGATGCCTCGAAGAGGGATAGCATCAGAATAATTGGATGACTGGAGGAAGACACAACAAAAAAGTCATCTGCAACAATTCTGAGAGAATTCTTAGAGGAAAACTTCCCCAGCTTAATGAATGAAAACCAGGCAACCAGTCAGGAGGCTGAAAGAACACCAGCTAGACTGAATCCCAAGAAGAAGTCACAAAGGCACATAATTATACTATCCAACTCTGAGGAAGAGGAGAAAATCATGAGAGCAGCTAGGGAAAAACAAGCAATCACATATAAAGGTTCCCAAATAAGAATATGCTCACACCTATCAGCAGAAACTATGAAGAAGAGGAGAGAGTGGAGTAACATATTCCAAAAATTGAAGGAAAATAATGCAAACCCCAAAACACTCTATCCAGTCAAATTATTGATCAAGATATATGGAGAAGTAAGAATCTTCCCAGACAAGGAAAAACTCAAAGAATATGTTAGAAAAAACAAACCTAGTCCTACAAAAGATTCTTGCCAACCCAGTATGGGCAGAACAACACTCACCAAGCATAAATAAGAGACCACCACATAGAACAACCTCACCCAGAGGGCAACAAAGAGAAAACAGACCCCCAAGATGGCATTGGTTTAAGGGTGGAAAGAAGTCAAGAATGAAACACACACACACACACACGCACAACATAACAAAGGGAGTAGGAAAACACCCAACACAAAATGTATAAGATGACATCAGAGTCCGCAGATGGATCTAATAACTCAATATCAATGGCCTGAATCTGACATTAAAAGACTGAGGCTAGCAGATTGGCTTAGAAAACAACCCATCCATCTGCTGCCTACAGGAGACACATCTCAAGGCAACAGACAAAAATAGGTTGGGAATCAAAGGCTGGAGAAAAACATATCAAGCAAGCAGCAATTAAAAAAAAAATCAGGGGTTACAATCCTATCTTGGATAAAATTGACCTCAAAGTGCAAACCATAAAAAGAGATGAGGAGGGACACTATACAATGCTCAAGGGAATGGTAGACAAAGAACCACTAAGCACTTTATACATATATTCCTCGAACAAGAGACCCACTGAATACATCAAATTCTCCAAAAAATGAAAAAAATAAATCACAGCCTCAACAATTATAGTGGGTAACTTCAATACACTGCTCTCTGAGAAAGATAGATCACAGGGAAAGAAACTCAACAAGGAGGCTAG